CCGTACAATTTAAAGCCAATTGCACATCAGGAAGAGCATCTTGCCAAGAACGATCTTTGCTTGTCTCTACAGCAGTAAACATGTTCTTAAGAGTACTCATTACTCGTTCTACCTGACCATTCGCACGCGAGCTACCAGTAGCAATAAGATGCAGTTCAATACCATTTGATTTGCAAAAGTCTCGAAACTCAGAACTAGCGAAACACCTACCCTGATCTGCAATTATACGTTTTGGAGCACCAAAAAGTGATACACCGAATTTTACAGCCTGAATACTATTTTTTGAATCAATATGTAAGGTGTGGTGCAGAATTACAAATTTTGTGAATGCGTCGATTAATACAAAAACATATTGCTGCTTTTGGTCACTCTTACCACTAAGTTTGCCTGTTGCGTCAATATGTACTGTATGCCACGGAGTCGAGACCTTTGGAATGGGATGTAATTCCGCCTGTACTTTACCAGAATGGGATTTAGAAACTTTACATGTAATACAATTGTCGATAAATTTTTTGACATACTTTGTCATGTTCTCAAACCAGTACATCTCATAAATCTTTTCGAGAGTTTTTTCCCATCCGAGATGAATTAAAGATTCATGAACACAGTTAATAACAGACCATCTTAGAGCTCGAGGAAGGATTGGCAAACACTTTGTTCTGCCATTGCGTTGTATACTGCGATGTAGCACAGCGGATCGCAACTCATAAGTTTTAGATAAATTATCGCCAAGTTTTCCATTCTTTAAATCGGAAATTAATTTCTGAATTTCCTCATCGCGATGCTGTTCAGCAATTAACCAATTTCCGGAAATATCCGCAATGTTAATTTCTTTTTTTTTTCAACTTTATCGAGGTTATTAGAGTTCAAGGGAAGTTGTGGGTTTCTTGAAAAGAAATCGACGTGGCCCATACGATCACCATTCCTATGTATATTATCAAAATTAAAGGATTGCAGAAAAGCCCACCATCTGTGTACCCTAGGTGTTAAGTCCAGCTTACTACGTGCCGATTTCAATGAATTGCAGTCAGTAATAACAACAAATTTCCGGCCGTATAAAAAATGTCTAAAGTGCTTCACACCATTTACAACTGCAAGGGTCTCCAACTCATAAGAATGGTACTTTGCTTCTGCAGGTGTGGTGCTCTTACTAAAATATGCCACAACACGAAGATTTTTGTCACTCCTCTGCATAAGGATTGCCCCATATCCTAAGGAGCTGGCATCCGTATGCAATTCAGTGGGGAAGTTTGGATCAAAAATAGTAAGAACTGGCGAATCGGTTAATACTGCTATAATTTTTTGCCTAATAACTTCATGTGATGGCTTCCAAATAAGATTTCCCTTGCTTAAACTTGTTAGAGCATATAACGGTGACATTACTTGGGAAAATTTTGGCACAAATTGCCGAAAATATGAAGCTAAGCCAATGAATTGGCGTAGTTGAGTCACCGTTTGTGGTGGTGGAAGAGTTATCAAGGCTTCTATTTTCTTTGGATTGGGCCTAATTTCACCATCACTGACTTCATAACCAAGATACTCTACCTTTCGCTTCAAAAATTTACACTTTTTAACATTAAGAGAAAATCCGGCATCAGTAAGTATTTGTAATACAGTAGTAACCCTTTTCAAACTTTCCTCAATATCTTCTGTTCCTAATACTAAAATGTCGTCCATGTAAACTACCACATAAGAATGCACAAGCTCTCCAAGAACTTTCATAACAGCTCGTTGAAACACTGCTGGAGCGTTTCGCAGTCCAAATGGCATGGCCAGGTACTCAAAATGACCTTCTCGAGTTACGAACGCCGTTTTTTCTATCGAATCTGCATGAACTGGTATT